AGCCGTGATTGACCTTGAGCATTGCGTACGAGAGGCGCGTCTTGAGGTCGCTGGACCACTATATATTCTGGGTCAGCCATGCTATCTTTGTTTTAGTGTCGCGTGCCGACTTACATCACCGATACTGCTGGCTGTAGTAGAGGCCATGCTGACGGTGCTCGTGTTCCTCGAGTGGCCCATCCGAACTGGAGAGGTGTTTTCCTTGAGAGCACCGTCGGCCATTCGCTTCCGGGCCGTTGCCATTACATTGTCCTCGGCCAGCTTGTCCTGGGCGGCGGCAATATGTGATAATTGAAGTAATTGTGACTCTTGGCTGGAATCGTGGCTGTTGAGGCTTCCTCCCGGCATGTCACCCTGACTGGCGGGCGGCGTGAAGACGTTGGCGGGTTCGGCGGACAGGCTCGAGGTCTGCGAGTCAGAGGAGGGGAGCGGTCGCTGGTGGGTGGATGGATTAACCTGAGAAGGTGCGGAGGATGCAGCGATTGAGGCGGTTTTGGGAGGATGGTGATCGGCTATGCGAGGAAGGTGATTTGACGCTGAAAAGGGTTGTGAAGTCTGCTGGTAGCTGGGCTGGGGTTGTTGGCCTTGTGGATGAAGGTGAGCGTGGGCGTGGCTATGGAGATTGTGGTGGTGATTCGCAGTCGCGTCGCCCAAGGAAGATGCGGCTTTGTCGTTGGAGAGCGCGTCGGGGGAGGCAACGGGCTGGGGTCGGGCCAAAGGCTGCAGAGCACGACGAGCGGCTTTATTCGGGAGCAATCCCGTGTCTTGCAGGGCCGCGGGCGAGTGTATTTTGAGGTGTTGTCGGTCGGATTCGTGTATATGGCCCAGCCGGGGCGGGATGGAGGCGGAGTCCATGGGCGGACAGATTGGTGATGCGCCGGACTGAAGTGTGATGACGGAGGGTTCGAGCGGCGGACGGACGCAGGGACCGACTATGTTGGAGAGTGTGTTCAAACACTGATCAGGACGATATACGGTAACGGGGCCGGCGAGGGGAGAGGAGAGAGAGATTTGGTGGTCGGAGGTGTAGGAGTGACCGAGGTGACGGATGAGGGTTGCGACGAGGATCGGGTGTGCGGTGTGGTGGAGGAACAGTGCGGTGCAGTTGAGTGTGGTGGTGGTGGTGGTGGGCTGTGGTCCAGTTGCATAGATAGGTGAGGTACGCGGACAACACTAGGCAGGTCACACAGGCGGTGCTGTCCGCTGTCGAGGCATTTGCTAACGGTTGCGGGCACCTAAGAGTAAGACGGTAGTTAGACGATAGGTAATTAGCTGGGGGGATTGATGGACGGGCGGGGGGATGGGAGACGGAACGGGGAGCCTGGAGGAGCGATGACTGGGGTGGAGGAGGAAAAGGGCGGTTTACGCGGTCTGCGTCGCGTTATTTTCGCCCACCTGGCTTACCTTCCCGTCGGTTGTTCTCTTTCACAATGAAAGTCCCCGTATGTTTTTTTTTCTGCCCAGGTGTGTCTCGTCTGATGTGTGTGTGTGTGTGTGTGTGTGGGCGTGGGCGTGTGTGTTTCCGTGGATTGTTGACTCTTGTTCTCGTTGTTCTGGCCCTTGGGGGAGAAACTCCAGTGTCTCTCGGCTGTGTCTTGCAGCGGCTTCTCCACTGTAACAATGGCGAATCCCCCCCTCCCAGTCGTCCTGACCTAACGCTCTTGGGGTTCGTTTCGCTAGACAGACGGGGACCCCAGTTCGGTGGTCACGCAAGAGGATGCAAATAGAGTCTACAGAGAGAATAGAAAATTAAAGATGATGAAGACGAGAAAAATGAAAGTGTGATGCAATGGAAAATCATGTCAGAATTTGGCCAGTCAGTAATGGAAGGTAAGGTAGGCAGGTACCTACACGGGGCGAGTCGATGCCCGCGCCTGCCAGATCAACAGAAACACCCCGACCGAGGCGACGTGGACCGTGGTGGCGGCAAAAATCGAGCAACTGCGACACGCCCAGATTCCCGCTCGGCCTGACTCAGCAGGTCAAAGACACGAAGTCACATGATGTTGTACCAAAGTATCTTCCACCATCATCACCACACCACCACCGCCTCCCGTCCCTCCCCATCCCGGTACCTCACCACCACACTTCCCTGAACATCTGCATCCATCCTCTATCCGTATACAATGTTTGCTCTTCATCAAAGACCGACCTGCTGTTCCAGGCCTCTTCTTTGTCTGTGATTGGATTACTGAACGGATACCCCTGAAGCTGAAGTATTGCTGCCCAAGCCCAGATGTGAACCGAGCATACCCATCTCCATCTCTGAATAAGGTAGGTAGATTTAGCAAGGTAGGTATCCGTAGTCTAAGTGTCATATAAGATGCCCCCCATCATGCGTTACATGCAAATACTCGAGCGTATCTCCCTCACCGCTACACAATGCATTGTCGAAATCCATCAACTCCCCGAGGAATGCTTACTCATGTCTTCATGTCTCATCTGTAAGAGACTCTAATCCAATCATCCAGTTGACCACTTGTTGAGGGTCCTCTAATACTCCCGTACTCTCCACTCCAATCCACGACAAGTCATTGAACCGTGAACTCAACCACACGCTGGCTCGTCACCCGTCGCCGAGTATCCATGCGCCCCGCCATCCAAGATCACCGCTTCGTTGTCGCCAAAGTCATCCTGTACCCTCCTCCACTGCGTCTTTCTGTCCTTACGGCCCTCCAGCTGCGCTCCCTTTCCCTTGGCATCCCACACCGGTTTGATCAGTCCTCCCAGCAAAGGGTTCTGACTAAAGGCTCCGCCGCCGCCAACACCGCCCTGTCCACCCTGCCGTTGACTGGTGAGGCTGTAGTTCTCGTCTGCAACTTCGTCCATAACAATATCCTCTTCGTCCGGCGTCGTCGGCCGCTCCACAGCCGCCATCTTCCTGACTACCTTGCCACCCACCACGTCAATGCTGACCACCTGCCGCCGCTTCTCGTACTCGGGCTTCGCGTTCCACTCAATCTCGCGGAGGATCTTCTGCTGCCTCTTGAGCTCCCTGGCCCGCTCCTCGGGCGTCGACCAAATGTTGCCTCCGCTGCCGGCCATGGCTCCGCTGACATCAAAGTCTGCCGCCTCATCTCTGACCGTCGTTCGCCGCGCGTTCTGCGCCTGAAAGTTCAATAGCTTGTCCCGGTGCTCCTTGGCCTTGGCCTCCGCCTCGGACATCTTGTTCTGGCTAAATGGCGCCGGCTTCTTGCTGACCTCGGCCCGCTTATGAGCATCTCTGTCCGCAGCCATGCGCTCCTTTCCTCGCTCGGCCTTGAGCTCCCTGATCATGCCTTGTACATCCTCCGACGACAGCAGAGGCGTGCCGCAGAATGTGCATGGCCCCAGGCCCTCCTTGACGCAAATGACCTTGCCACACGACTGGCAGTTGGGCGCCGCCGTCTGCAGCGGGTGCCGTGTAGCAACGCAGTTGCACCTCCTTGCTTTCGGGTCGTCACCCATTGTCGGGTTCGTCGTCAGCTCTAAAGATCTAATAGCCGCGTCTAAATCGTTGAGGGCCGTGGATGCACCTGCCATTGGCGTACCTCCGGCAATCGATATCTTTGTAGGTTTCGTCGTAGGCTTGGGGGTAGAGGATCGTGATACAGGGTTCGACTTGGGCTTCGCCTTGACGTCGGATATCAGGTAGCCTCCGGCCGTTCTTTGCTGCTGCGGAGGAGGGGTAGCACTCTTTGGTGGTTGCTTAGAACCCGACGACGGGGCCCCAAGTTGCGGGAAGGCGGTGCTGATGCTGTTGCTGCCGCTGCTCTCCGCCGCCGGAGCTGGCTTCTTCCCTCCATACCACTCGTCCTCCTGTGACTTCTTATTGTAGCTTGCTCCTGGGGGAGGTGCAGCCTCAATTTGTCTTGCGGTCGGTGTGTGTATGTTTGCCTTCTTCTTCTTGGGTCCCCGTGACGTCTTTGGAGCAGGCTCCGGGGCACTGGAGCTGGTCGAACTGGGTTGCGGCGCTGGGGCTGGGGTCTTTTTCTCTTGTCGTCGTGAATTGAAGGAGGAAATAAACTCGACGGCCTGTGGTGAGTCGCCCAGTAGGTCGTTGAAGTGGTTTGCGGCTTCGGATTTCGACAGCGTGTTTGCGTAGTCGAGCATCTGCTTTAGCTCGTCCTCAGGGAGGGGCAGCAGGCGGGAGAGCTGCGCCAGAGACATGTTGGGAGTTTGACGTCTCTTCCTAAGTGTATCTATGTCGAGATAGAATCGGCTTTTCGGACCGTGGTGGAAGTTGTTGGGGCAAGGGAAAGGGTGTAGTTGTGAAGCTTTCGCAGCAATTCAGATTTGAGAATGATGATGATGAAATTGACAAAAGTGGCGGGGTCTTTCTTTAGCTGATGTTCCTGGAAGCTAGCGCCACAGCTCCCCGCGACTGTCAAAGTTAGGGTGGGGTCAGCGCTGTGGTCGGCCGGCAACCCCCGCTGCCTGTCATCGAAGAGTCACTCGGCGTGATGAGAACATATCTCACTCTGATGATGGGATGGAGGGACTGGATGTTAGCTGTATTTCATCTCCCAATGCGATGATTGTAGATTACTATCCTACTCAGTGACCTGAATGCCGCTAAGCTCACACTCGAAAATGCTCATGTCATTTGAAAAACATGATGACCTATTTATCAAAGCTTACCTATGGAAAGCATTCAGTCCTGCGTGTAAGAATGAACCCTTGGGTGCTGACTAAGTCTTATTCAGACTCGAACCTATGTATATAGACAAAAACACAATGAGAGAATCTCATCAGGCTATCGTTATTTTGCCAGTCTGCTTGCATTTGAATTCCGTCGTGTGATACTGTACAACGTGGCACAATTGAAAAGACCTTCCTTCCAGCCCAAAGGAAGTCTTACGTTGAACCATACTTACTGTCTAGCTCAAGTGTTGAAGAGGACTTTCAAAGGCATAGGCTTTTTTTACATGACCTATTATCATAGGTTACGGCAGTTCGAAACATGTTATCACCAGATGTCACAGACCGGGAGGTGCCAGTCGGAGCCGGGTGGAAGCCGGCTACGAGGCGCGGGCCGTACGGAGTACAACAAGACTGGGGGTCATGAGGTCATGAGTCGGCGCCGGTTGCGGTGTCTTGAGAGTTTCGAAGCACCTTTTCGCCGACGCAGGAATGAAAGCAAATATGCGCACCAGTGAGATGGCGTGTTCTGGCTTCCCCAACTGCACTGAGTATGCGTAGGTAGTGTACATAGGGAGTACCGCCTCGGTATGCTTCATGGGTAGGGCCATGGAAGACATGCATATGTCGAGTAAGGCTGTCTGGAAAGATGTCACATGAAGCAAGGCGGTTCTGATGGACAGTGTAACATGTTCTCCGACGGATGGTAGGGGATCCCAGGGATGCAGAACCGAGAGTGAGGCCATTCTGCGTAGATCCCGTCCACCCATTGCGTCCGTTGGCTGGCTTCCATTAGGGAGTATACATACAATGGTGGTAATTGAGAAGGAGTACAGTTCAGCAGGCTTTACCGTAACCTCGGGTCGAGGGATGTAGGTATTAATGCGGGATACATCATCTATCATATACACTACGACGATGGGTTACAGCAAGGTAATCGTAGGGTAGATAAGCATGTGCCATGATGAGACCGTCCGTCCATCCACCCGAGGGCGTCTAACGGGTGCGGCAGAGTCGACTGCGTCTCTCGTTCCGGGGTTGAGTGGTAGCAGTGGAGAGTGGATGGTCGGGGACCAAGCTCGGCGATGGGAAGCTGAGAAAGGAAGAAAAGGAAGGGGAAAAAAGATGCTACAGAATGCACCGCAGTGCCGCAGAGATGTGTGGAGTACGTATCCTCTCCGGCGTTTCCCCGTGGTCTTCCGGGTGGCCGTGACGCTAGACCTGAATTGGAATTGGCGTGGGGTTTCTTTCCTGCTTGTTTTTTTTTTTGTCTGCCGGTCGCATCGTGATCCATCACTCGCACCTTGTAGCCTCAGGAAAGCAAGTCCCGGTCAGTCAGTCAGCACTGGAGTGTTGGTAGTAATAACAACCACAGCTAAGCTAAGGAAGGTAGAGACAAGAGCGAAGCCGAGAAATGGAACCTGAGGTGCTGACAAGGTGTGGAAAGAAAGGCCGGGAATGACGGGGGGGAAACAGTGGATGGTGGGCCCTTTCTGAAGCCTTCACCCACTCGCAGGGCCGCATCCTGCCATTCCCGGGCCCCCGTCAATCCACTGTCTGTGGCTCCCGTGTGGTGCGTGTGCTCTCTGTTGAGTGTCCTGTTGTCCTCTGCTGCTGCGCTGTTGCTGTGTGAGAGGTGTGCCAACTTATTTCGCGCGCCTCATAAATTTTTAAACCTCTGCTCTTTTTTTCTTCCCTCATCCATCTTAACTGTGTACCATCTACCTACTACACATCCCCCCCCTCCTCGTCGCAATCATGTCTTTCGTCCAGCGCCGCATGTTCTCCGCCTCGGCGAGAAGCGTAAGTCATCCTTTAGCTCCCAATTCCTATCTGGCTGCGCATCAAAGCAGAGCTCTCTCTCTCTCTTCTCCATAGCTCCGAAAAGCCGACCTCGGGGCACGGAACTGAAGGGAGACACAAGCTATGAAGCTTCGTCATGATCAAACGTCAACAAACACAAATGCATCATCACATACAATGGAAACAGCCAAAAGACCATTCAGCTGACAACATGCCTATAGCTCTCCAAGGTCACCGTTCTCGGTGCCGCCGGTGGTATTGGCCAGCCCCTCTCCCTGCTCATGAAGCTCAACCCCAGAGTCACTGAGCTCGCCCTCTACGATATCCGCGGAGGCCCTGGTAAGTCCATCTCCATCTCCATCTCCATCTTCCTCTCCAGCAACACCCAATTGACTCCTGTCCAGGTGTCGCCGCCGACATCTCCCACGTCAACACAAAGTCCGTCGTCAAGGGCTACGACCCCACCGCCACCGGCCTCGCCAGCGCCCTCAAGGGCGCCGAGGTCGTCCTCATCCCCGCCGGCGTCCCCCGCAAGCCCGGCATGACCCGCGACGACCTCTTCAACACAAACGCCTCCATCGTCCGCGACCTCGCCAAGGCCTGCGCCGAGTCCTGCCCCGACGCAAACATCCTCGTCATCTCCAACCCCGTCAACTCCACCGTCCCCATCGTCTCCGAGGTCTTCAAGGCCCACGGCGTCTACAACCCCAAGCGCCTCTTCGGCGTCACCACCCTCGACGTCGTCCGCGCCTCCCGCTTCGTCTCCGAGATCAAGTCCACCGACCCCAAGGACGAGAACATCACCGTCGTCGGCGGCCACTCGGGCGTCACCATCGTCCCCCTCTTCTCCCAGTCCAACCACCCCGACCTCTCCTCCAACGCCGAGCTCGTCAACCGCGTCCAGTTCGGCGGTGACGAGGTCGTCAAGGCCAAGGACGGCGCCGGCTCCGCCACCCTCTCCATGGCTTTCGCCGGTGCCCGCATGGCCGAGTCCCTCCTCCGCGCCTCCCAGGGCGAGAAGGGCATCGTCGAGCCCACCTTTGTCGACTCCCCCCTCTACAAGGACCAGGGCATCGACTTCTTCTCCTCAAAGGTCGAGCTCGGCCCCAACGGTGTCGAGAAGATCCTTCCCCTCGGCAAGGTTGACGCCGCCGAGGAGAAGCTCCTCGAGGCCTGCTTCGCCGACCTCAAGAAGAACATTGCCAAGGGTGTTGCCTTTGTCGCCTCCAACCCCCCCAAATAAGTGCAACACTTTCCGTGTGTCACTTTTGATGTAAACTAGGGGACGTGTTGTAGTAGATGGAAACCTACACAAACAGGTTGAGCAGAGTTGAAAACAAAACAAAATCACATCCTCCACTACTTTTTTTTTCCAGTCTAATCCGACTGGCAAAGAAAGAAAAGGATGACGGGTAGACACAGAAGCGCACACCAAAAGTCGTGCTTTACCTACTCGTGGCATCGACTTTGCGTCTGCCTCTGTACCATAAAATTTCAAACACGCTTGACTTCAAACTTTATTCCTTAAAATGCCGTGATCCAATGCCTACGTTACACCGACTATTTCCTGTTGAAAGACGTGCATGCGTGAGCGCTTCGTAGATAGTCATTAAGATCTACCTACCTGCAAATAGCGCCTGACAAAGGCAGGCTTACTACATCTTTTTGATGGTTCTTGTGTAGCAAACAAAAGTCTTGGTTACCTGATGAAGATCCGGTTGTAAAGGATTTCAAGACACAGCTTCTCCAAAACTCAGACTACGACAAAGTACTGTATGCACATATCATGATGCTCATTCTCTATCATACATCTCTCCACACGCATTTTGCGTCTCTAACTTGTTTTGGTTACACAATTAGTCTAAACCCGACACATCTATCTACTGCCTCTGTCGGCCCGTTCTCCATGCCTCGAGCTGTTGGCGGCGCTCCTCCACCTTGCGCTCAAACTCGGCCACCTTCTCCTGCGCCTTCTTCTCCTCCTCTTCGTCCTTGATCTTCTGCTCTGCCGCCTTGCGGACGCGCTCACGCTCCAGCTGCTCGGGTCTGCGAGCAGCAATGTCGCGGGGACGGAAGTCAGAAAAGAGGTTCTTGAGAACAACCTCAATGACCCAGCAGGCGGCGTAGTCGATAACCATGATGCCCGTCATGGTCATCTTGAACTCATCGCTAAAGGGGACCAGCTTCATCTGCTCATTGATCTCGGGGATGAACTCCATGGAGCAGGAGAAGGCCAGGGCAGAAACACCGACAATACCGTAGAACATGCCCTTGTTCTCGCGAAGACCCTCACGGAAAGGACGTCCCTGATAGTTGATGGCGAACGTGCTAATCTGCTGGATGAGCTGAAGCAGGTAAACGGCGCTGTTGAGGAGACTGGGCGCGAACTCGGCCTCGAGATCAACGTCACCGGAGCGGCTGTTGCACTGTCAGTGTTTGCTTTGCAGAAGTAGTACCTAGGATAAACTTACGGCTCCAGTCTGTCACAGAACCGGGCAATGTAGATGAGAGTGACAACGTGGACGGCGAATTGTCCAAGAATCGAACCAATGATGTAAAAGTTGAAAATGTTGGGCTGGGGTCGCTCCTTGGAGAGACCCTCGACAACGCGAGCACGAGAGATGGACAAGAAGCACACGCTCATCAGAATACCGCTGATGGTGTACTGTCCGTCACCGAACTTGATACCCTCGAGGTACAACACACTCAAACTGTAAGCGCTAATGAGGCAGTTGAGAGCGAGAATTTTGTATGTCTGGATGGTCGCGACGAGTGTGCAGCGGCCCTGGCGAATGATGTTGGGAACGGCAATAACGTTGCGCAGCTTGCTGGTGAAAGGAGCCGCGACAGAGGCATCACCAAGCTTCAGCGTAGGAGGCTCATCATCACCCATCTCGGTCTCCATCAGGCTGGATGTCATCTTGTCGGCAAAGCTAGCGGCGTTGGCGGCAGCCTTGGCCTGACGAGCAGCGTTAGGATCGTTGTTGTTAAGAAGTTGCTTAGCACCAGGGGAAGTGACGGTCTCGATGGCGCTGACGCCGTTAGCCTTGAGCCATTCCTCGGGGGTGATATTCTTCTTCTGGGCCTCGCGCTCGACAGCCTTGGTGAAGTGGGGGTTGCTAGTGCCAGGAGGGTACAGATGGGCGATCATGACGGGAACGGGGGGTGCGGGTTGGTTGAACCTCTTCATGAGGTCAACTTGCTTCTGGTAAATCTCCTTCATCTTAGTGTTCCGGGAGTGCTCGGCGATGCGAGTCAAGTCGTCCATAGTGCCGTTGAGGAGAGCGATACCAATGTGGGCTTGCTTGAGGGCACCGACGTCGTTGGTTCCGTCACCAGCCATCAATGTATAGTAACCCATGTCTCGGAGACCAACGAGAATGTCCTCCTTCTGCTTGGGCGACACACGCGCGTAAACCCAGGCGTGACGGAGGATCTGGCGCCAGCCGACTTGGTCCTTGAACTTGGCCAGAGCGTAACCGGTAACACAGAGATCGTTGTTCTCAAGAATCTTGGGGTCAAGAGGCTTAGAGGGGTCGGCAGGGATGATAGTCTTCTCATCAACACTGCGCCAGACAAGCTTGTCGCCGCCCTCGTTGTCCTCGGGGGCGTCGAGAATCAGAACCTCACGGTCAACAATCTCAACGTCGCGGGCGACGTAGACAGCGGTAAGGGGGTTGTCACCGGTGATCATGACGACACGGTGGCTGCTCTCGTTGAGCATCTGGACAGCTTGCTTCGCGTCATCCTTGAGAGGGCAGGAGAGAACCAGGAAACCGGCAAAAGTAAGTCCAGACTCGACGTTGTCGCGCTTAAGGTCGTTGATCTTGCTACCTCCGAGCTCGTTATCAACAGTAAGCTGCTTGTAGGCGAGTGCAAGTACACGGGAACCGCGTCGGGTAAAGTACTTGTAGGTCTCTTCGTAGTCGGCAGGGATAATGGAGAGTCTCTTCATGATGGTCTCAGGAGCGCCTTTGACAGCGACAAAAGTGCCACGGATTCGGTTGCCAGCCTTGTCAGCACCGTTGACAGTGGCAACAGTACTCTGTCTCTTGAGGGCGGAGGAGAATTGAAAGCGGCGCTTGATCTGAACAGTTCCACTGACACCAGTAGTAGCAGCTGTGGTGGGCTTGCTGGCGAGGGTGTCGTTTCTACCAAGAGTCCAGCCGAGAGAAGTCAAAGTAGCCTTCTCCATTGGGTCGCCAACGACTTCACCCTCGTCAAGCTTGACAAGTGCATGGGCAGTAGCGAGAACCAAAGTGGTATCCAGGCGGATTTCGTTGACGGGGGTCATGGTTGAGTGCGCACCGTCGGCCTCGCGAGGGGTGCTCGTGCCCTCCTGACCGAGTCCCAGGCCAGCAATACCTTCAACAACCAAGTCCTCGCCGGTGAGGGTACCAGTCTTGTCGAAGCAGGCGATGTCAATGCGGCCAGCGTAAGGAATACGGAAGGGCTCGGTGCAGAAGATGGCAAGCTTGGCCAGCGCTGCCAAACTGGTGTTCACGGCAAGACTGAGTTCCATGGGCAGTTCAGGAGGAACGACGCTGGTGACGATCAAGACGCAGTCAAGCAGAAGCTTGGAGCGCTTGCGGTCCTTCTTGACACCCTCGTCCCAGACGTACCAGGAAGCGGCGATGGCGAAAATGAGGAGGAACAAGATGAAGAGCAGAGCCTCAACGTTGTTGGCGGAAACACGCTCGGTGGAGTAGATCATGGTGCGGACAAGGCTGCCCTGGGAGGTCTCAAAGCCGGTCTTTTGGACGATAGCCATGGCGCCATTGTCAGGGGGAGGAGGGACGCCGGATGCCAGCTTGGGCTTCTCTTCATCGGGGTTGCCGTGGGTGATTTGCAAAACCTTGGTACCACCCCACAAGAAAGCGTTCTTGTCAAGGCCTTCAGGCTCGATGGGGGCGTCGCTGGGGCGAAGCTGTACGGAGTCCTTCAGGAGAGGGGTACTCTCACCAGAAAGCATGGCCTCGTTGACAATGGCGGTTCCTTCGACAAGCAGCATATCGCAGGCGACACCGCTATCTTCTTTGGTGCGACCTACGGAGACGAGATCGCCAGGCAGAAGCTTGTCGCTCAGGACTTCAGTCCATTTGCCCAAGCGGTATACGTAGACATCATAAGGCTTAATGCTCATGCCACGGAACTCGTTGAGTGTACGCTGGCGCTGCCAAACGACGGTGCTCTCGAAAGCGACAAGCATGAAGAGGGTGAAGAGCGAATAGTACCAGTACTCGTCGAGCATCCACAGGCCAACACAGAAGATCTGGAAGACGAAGAAGGGTGCGACGGCGTGCTCCTTGAAGAGCTCGGTAAAGGTAGGAACGGGGATGTCGAAGGCGTTGGCGCCATAGTGCTCTTCGATTCTCTTCAGCTCGGCTTCGGTGGTGATGCCCTTGGACTGCTGGTAGCGTCCGATCTTGGGCTTTGGCTCGGCATCGATATCGTAGGCGAGGGTTCGGAAGGACTTGTCCTCGGGGAAGTAGATGAAGCGGCGCTTCTGGAACAAGAAGGTGGTGTTGATCTTGCCGCCAACCTGCATGAGTGAAAGAGCAAAGGTCAGTCAGACTGCGGAGAGCAGAAAAGGAAGAGGAGGAGGAGCAGGATGGCTCGCTTGTTCGCAAGGGGCTTGGCTTACCTTGTCGCGGATGATTTTACAGATTTCGGCAGAGCCGGCGTTGGCGACAGGAATGATCTTGACGAGCTCGGCCTCGTCAATTGACTTGGCGCGGGTGGCAGTAAAGGTAGCTTGGAGGTTGACACTCCAGTGAGTGCTCAGCCAGGCGAGGGACTGAAGGGTGACGATGGAGCCGATCCACACAAAGGTCCATTCCTCGGATGCGATGTGCTTCTCGTAGAGCTCGGCGGTAAGGTAGTAGCGGAGGAAGATGGGCCAGATGATGGCAAAGGGCCAGACGTAGGCGTGGAAGTATGTCGGTAAAGGCTTCCACAGCTCGGCCACCTTGATCTGGGGGTTGTCCACGAGGGGCGCCATGGTGGGCGATTGCGCGCGATATCGTGGATCAAGCGACAGAACGGCGGACAAAATGAAAGAGCGCGGGTTGTTTGTCGGATGATGCTATATCCCTTGTTGCATCGACAGTGGTTCTCCTGGTTGATGCAGATGGAGCACAACAAAGAGATGTTGCGATGTGAAGATGTTAAAGGTGACCCGTGGCAGAATCAGGGCTGGTTGGTGGTGGTGGTGGTGGTGCACCAGTGGTACTACTGCTACTACTTCCTTACTGTGGGGTCTCGCGTCGTTGGCGGCGGAGAAGTGAGCGGCGGAAAGCAGAATCCAGCCGAAGGCGACAGACGTAAAAAAATAAAAAAATAAAATAAAAAAAAAAGCCAGATGGTGGTTATCTGTCACTTTTTTTTCTCTTTCGCGATGGCGAATTGGGAAGCTGGGTACCTGGAGAAGGCCACTCACAGGCCTCAGAGCTGATGGAACAGGGGGCTCTTTTGGCTCTTTTGGCCTGATGTGGCCACTCATCCTTTGCTCTCAGTGGCTCGTGGGGTACGTAGTACGTAGCGTACGTGGACCCTGCTACCTAAGGTACCTACCTGGAATCCTTCGTGCCTTCCTTACTTGCCTTACCTAAGCTATCCGGGCAGTCCCAGGCCCCCTTAACCTTGGATTTCCGCCGTGATGGATTCCTCACGTCCAATCCAAACGTGCGAGGTTGATCCGTGCCGTCCCTCTTTTTCCCCGCCGCTCAACTCCGCCGAGAGGCCCCGCGATAGAGGACCCCGATACTCCGTCGCTTCCCGTCCGATACAGGACAGCTTACCTTACCTTACCTTACCTTACCTTACCTTCACCTTACATCACTTCATGCAACGAACCCACTGTAATTGGCATCTTGTTTTATTTGGTATGAGGCTGACCCTCAGATACAAAAAAGTAAGGAAATAGTTATGTCGTGGTATATCATCCGCGGAAATCGTCGTCTTGGTGCCCATGTTGCGCCAAGCCAATAAAACATCCCTTCTCCCTTCTACTGTGGTATGCAATCAATATCCAGCACCCCAAAGGCAATGATCCTTTCTATCCGCAAACGCCTCCATCATGTCTCATTCTTCAATACTCAGAAATCCCAGCAATGACACTTCGTCGGTTGGCTCGTCCAGAGGGCCAATCCTCGTAAGTGGCTTGCTGGGATGGCTTTGGTGGCTTAATGTAGTCGGAGATTCTCTTCGACACGCTCCCCTGGTGTCGAAGTCCCCTTTTCCCGTCTGCACCTACACTAGCGCTGTGCGAGAGACTCGGCTTGCGTGGCGCCTCCCCGTAGAAGCTTGACGAGATCAGGTTGCGCTCGTCGTCTGCCGCGCCAAACGACATCATGCTTGCACGCTTGCCAGCCCCCGTCGAGTACTGCGCGCTGCTTCTCTTGTTGTTGCGTTGCCCAGCAGGAGCAGTAGCATCCGCTTGTCGAGTCGTGCTCCAGGGGTTGTCGCTGTACCCGTAGTGTCCCGAACGCCGTGCGAGGTTTCGCCACATTTGGGCGTGATATTCGCGTTCCGCAATCTCTGCCTCTGCCACGAAACGTTCATAATCCGTCAGTCCGCGGCTACCACTCTCTTGAGACGGAGTCTCTTGTCGGGATGGCGGGCGAGTGTGAGACGAGGTAGGCCGTGGCGGTGCTGATGGTGGCGCCTGCTGCTGCTCTGGCTGGCTTGGCGGGTCAAATGGCGCTTCCATCTCGACTGGAGAAATTGACTTTGGCGGTGTGAGGTCTCTGGCGTATGGGTCGGATACAAGATTGAAGCTGTGTCGTTTGGATGATAATGGACGAGAGTGAGGTCTTGCTGGAGCCTTGCCGTTCGCCGACGATGTATTTGAAGCATTTTGCAACAGGCTGTGCTGCTGCTGCAAGGGGTCGATCGCGACCGGTTCCCTAGTGGTTACCACTTCAATTTCGCTGCTCTTAACAATCTCGAGACGCCGGTGCAGTTCGTGGGGAGGCGGCGCCTCGTACTTGGACAGCGACATGTCCCGTGACCTGCGCTTCTCGGCAGTCTCTGCGGATGGCGTCCGTTGCCTGTGGAGAGGCTGCTCCGGCTCATTCACCCTGGAGGAGGCGGCCGTTATTGTGGCCAGTGCTTGAGCGCCGTTGTCCGGGTCGCTACCAAAGGAAAAGCTATGGCGATTGTGGCGCGACGTATTTGTGTAAGTCGTACGCGAAAAGTCAGCCGCCGCGTGTTTAGGAACATAGGCCGTTCGCGGCGCCGATGCTGTTGCCGGTGTCTCGGTGCTGGTCACGTTGTCCTCTCCAAAGTCATTGGCGCCGGATCTTGACCAGAATCTTTTTCCGAAACTCGCTTTGGATCGCGACTTGAGCTGCGTCGCCGTATCAGAACTCGAGGTCTGCATGGTTGACTGCTGTCGGGGAGGCGACTTGGGCTTGGGTGAGTTGGCGGCGCCGGCAGTCTGAGTCGCATTCGTGGGTGCTTGCTGTGGTAGTGTGACTGGACGTAGGGATCGGGGCACTGCAGACTTCAAAGAGCCTCTTCGCGCATCCAAGACAGTCTCACTTTCGGCAGGTGTTGGGTGCGACGGGTTCAACATGAGCGGGTTCATGAGCAGAGGCCCTGTCTGCGTCTCACGCTGCTCCGTGGCCCGCTGCTGGTCGAAGCCCTGTGACGAACTTGTATGATCGTTCCCGGCGGAAATCGACGTCTTCTTATTCTGAGCGTCCTTGTCCTTGGAAACCAATCGTCGTCGCATAAGGCGGTTCAGCAACCCTGTCTCGTCTGCCGGAGGTGCGGCAGTCATTGACGGTGAGGTACCAGTACCAAGACTTTGCGCCGCTGCCGGTACTGGACCCGTGACGGTCGCGGGTCGGCTTGTCGCTGGCGGCAGCTGCAGCTGCGAGTTTTCGTCAAGCCCTGGCAGCGGTGCAACAAGACGACCGTTGTCAGTGTAACCTTGAGTCTGAATGTGGGCGACAAGGGGGGCTGGCGATGCCCGAAGCGTGTTCTGGGGATTGTGGAGTTGGAGACGATGGCGCATCGGGGGTTGCATCGGCATGGGTCTCTGCTTTTCCTGCTGTAGTCCGGATGGCGGCGGTGTCGGATCTCCTTGTGTCTGCTGATGCTGATGTTGCACCAGCATAGCTCTCTTGTCAACTTGCCGGGTGGTGATGTGTCGACTGAGAAAGCGATTGAGCTTGTTCTTGACACCTGTGGCAGGCTGGTTTGGAAGGGGGCTTGCGTCAGAGGAATGATCCTGATCCTCCTCGACCGCTATGTGCTGCTGCACCGCCTGGGAAGCGGGGTGGGAATAAGAAGGTGATGCTCCGAAAGAAGAGCTTGTCGGTGCTATCATGGACGTCGGCCTCCGTTTTGGTCGAGAGGCAGAAATAGGAGCGGCATTTGTCTTTTTGATCAGTTTCGACAAGCGGCGGGATTTGCTTGCTGATGTGTCTACTTGCTCCGAGTTTTGCTCCCTGTCTTGCCTCTCGCCCTGTGTTGTCTCTGGTTGATCTTCCAGGGTCACCGATATGGCTGCGTCTGGCCGCCAGCTCCACCGATTCTTGGTCAAACGGCGCGATGAGACACTGGTAGCGCCGCCACCCTGCAGGTTTTGGTCGTTTGGGACGTCGACCTCGCACGAAATGGGCTTGTCGGGAAAACGTGCTAATGGCTGAGAGCTGCTCACCGCATCCCCTCGGATTGAACTTCTTCGTGGCCCCGCCGACCATGACCATCGATTAGGATTGACCATTTTTATAGTAAAGCGGCGTGGGCTCCGTTCGTCTTGGATTTGAAAATCAGTGTCGGGCTGCCAGTTCGACTGAGGCGTCCAATCCCATGCAGAGGTGGACCACCCAAAAGCGTATCAGCTCAACGCAAGGAGCAATATTCCCAGAGTTGGTGTGGTGGGTGGCCGATCGGAGAATACGTCTGGCCGGAGGAGCAGCTGGGGCCCAATCGGCAAAGCGAAAAGAAAATGCTCGAAAAGCGAAACAACGAATCAGAAGGACGATGAGGAGTGTCAGCAACGACCTGGCAAGCCGAGATGGATCGATTGAGATGTAAAAACCAAACGTGGACAGCTGCGTTCCCAAGGCGGACGAGGGTTGAGATATGACTGAGGACGAGGGCCTACAAGTCCAGAAATAGCGAGGCTTGGAAGAACCCTGAGGCGTTCGTGCGGGCGAGCCTATGACTTTGAAGTGGTGGGCACTTCTTCCAACTCGACAAGTACTCTTCAAGTACCCATCCTGTCCATCATGTAAGTCGTTCGCCTCTCCGTGGTCTTCCGCATCTTCCGTAGCCCCAGATTTTGGTATGCACCGAAGCATCCCCCCTGCAGGCAGAGCAACTCTGTCGATACTTCAGAATGCAAAACAATCCAGAACACGGCGCTTGTTAACGGAACGACAAAGGGAAAACAAGCCCCGTGTTGCTCAAGCTTTGACAAGATGTTTGAAGCGGCAGCAAGAGGAAAATCCGATCAGCCAGACGGGTCTCCTGAAGCGTCCAGGCGTGGGAGTTTTGGTACCATGTGTGGCAGAGAAGAAGGAGACTAAGGTAGGTAAGACGCTCCCACAAGTGCTTCGAGGAGCCAAAGCGCCATCCAGCGCAGGCAGAGAATGAGAGCTTGCGGTCCCAGCCCAGCGTCAAAGAGTCCGCTAGCGTCTTCAGGAGGGTGTCAAGAAGCACAGCGGCTCTATATGCGGAGACTTGTGATTCTTCAAGCGGACAATGCCTGCCGAGAAGCGCGAGAAGCCATTTGCCAATACGTCATGGAAATGCTCCGAAGAATTGCAGCTCGCACGGATGTATGGTAAATTTGGAAGGCAATTCGCAAAGTTTGGTGAACCGAAATCGCGCGGTAACCGTGTTCTCCATGAACAACGTTGAGGGTTCCCCAAACTGTGGTGATATTGACTAATGTTTTCCAGGGACCAAACACCAGCGGATGCCATGGAATCGCCGGATTCGGTGATGATCGACGACTTCAACGACCACATTGTTTTGTTGTCCATTGGTGTTGTCTTAAGTGAGACAGCAGGCAGTGTTGACCTGGCTAAGCCGGCGTGCCTGGTGAGTTGTGTCGATCGCTCGATCGAATTCTGGAGGGGAAGCGGCAATTGCGACTTCTCGATATGCCCACGTCTATTGCCTTTGCCGTGTGCGAAGGCCACTACGCGGCAAGACACAAATGTGTATGCTTTTGGATTGCCTCTTCTTTGTCGACGAGGGCGCGGGGGCGTCAAGCATTGGCTAAGGACCCCAGGCCGTTAGGAATGGGATAGGTAGAGGCTTGTCTGTCTCGCGTTACACCGGAGGTTGTGATCCGCGATCTCGATGACGAGAGTTGCCAACCCTATGTATGGATGGCTGACGACTCGGTTGAAAGTTTCCCATCAACCCATACTTGTCGAAGACACCATCAACAAGTCCAACTAGACGGGAGGGCGTGGGAAGGCATGGCCTCATGGTGCCTACCCTCGTGGTTCTGAAAGAACATGCGACAGGTGAGACTCGTGGCGTCCCAACGAGGCATCCCACACGGGGCGTATTCCTCGTAAGTACTCATATGCTTCGTATGCAGATATCCGTATGGTGAAATGCTAATCCATCTTGAATGGAGCTCTCCACAAGAGACAAGTGCCATGTGCCGGATGGGGAATGGAGCTCAGAAAGGAGCTTGTCCGGCTAAGCTCGAAAATGCCCAGATCAGGGTAGCAAACAGAGACACTACCTCCCATGCTTTGTGATGTTGATATTGTCAACTGATAGGATTTGGAGAAATATTCGCACTAGGTATAGTCTGTATGGGTAATTGAGGTAGTAAGCTGCGACAGAGCCCGGAGTCAGGGCCGAAGAGGAGACGGAAGCCGGCGAGGTGACACATTGCGGTCAAATGAAGTTGAAATTTGGTTACCTACGGCACCTTACCTTAGGTAAAGTAAGCTGGAACGGAACAAGGTTAACTGCGAGTTGGCCCGTGAGGCCAAGGGTTTGTGCAGTTTGTGCAGTGCAATGGCAGGCAGGGATCGCCATCAAGATCCAAGATCGTCCCTTCCTTCCTTGTCCTGCTCAGATGGATGAGCCAAGGTGAGCAGGTGCAGATGCAGGCGAGATCTGGACCACCTCACCTCAGGTACCTACATTAGAAAAGGAAGTAAGAGCTCGGTGAAGAAACGGAACGCCTTGACGCCACGTAAAGTACCTAGGGACCTATCCCAACAGCCACCAACGAGGCAGTTCCTGCCCGAGGGAATGGAACGGAACCTGGATGGCAATCTCGGCACAGGTAGCAGATAGCAGGTACCTACACATAAGTTTAGACAGAAGGAAGGCAGGTATTCGTAGCGGGGGAAGGTGGCTCGCTGCCTTACTAGGTACGTAGATAAGCGCCAATTTCCCCAGTTCCTGCCCCCGTCTGTGTTGGAGAAGGTGGAAGCCACCTGTGGAGGACGGGGCGCAAGTCCGGTGCTTCTAGCGGGATCCACCACCACCACTCCGCCCTTTCCTCCTGCTCCGGGAGCGAATGACGTCTCGGCTTCCACCAAGCTTTCTCGGTCAACGACTCCTCACCTCCCACACCTCCTTACCAATCATCAACAACACCATCTCGACTTTGCTTCACCACCAACCACTCGACACCCTCTTACACACCCTCCGGCTTTTCCAGCTTCCCCCAAAAACGCCACCGCTCTTTCCTCGCCCGCTGCTTCTTCGCCAAACACTTTCCTTTTGTCCCGTGTCTCATGTGTTCCAGCAAGCTCCAGCTTCAATCTTTCTAGGTTCGGTTGTCTTATGGGCTAGGATGATATAGTCTGGAAGCTCGCTCGCTCGCTCAAGGGACAGTCTTCCGGAAACGCAAAAGCTCGAACCATGGCAGCCACCAGCAGAACTGCCTGACGAACCACCACGTGTATCTGATGTGGTACAATAACGTCTCCGGCATGTTCAGCAGTTTTCCTGGCAATCAACATCCAGTCAAAAACATCTGGCTACTTTTCGTTCCATTATCGACAGGTGGAGCACGAAGTAAGCTTGGAGAAAGTCGCCTAGTCATCTGCCATGCTTGCCTGGCCCGACGAGCTGGAGACTCTTTCGGGCTACTGGGATAACTATCCTATTCGCGCCCTTGAGATGCTTTATTGTGGATTGTTTCTTTCCGCTCTCGCTCTTAGGCAAGTCATGGTTCAGGAACCCAAAGGCTGTGGCAGAACCTTGCCCTGGATGGCGTGATAGCTGATGGCCGCTTCGAATCAATATGCAAGGCTCGGCACTCGAAGCGGGCAGACCGACTGGATACACATCCAGGCCTAAGGTTCAAGGAAACTTTACGCACCCTTCGTAAAGGTTGCGAACCCGAAGGCTGAAGGTTCTGGACCCTTTATGCGCTTCCACACGCAGCATCAAGCGGCTAATGTGAGCTTTCGCCTCTCGAAACATCTTTCTGTTGGCCCATCATGAGGCTGCAGATGCGGAGCTGAAATCTGCCAGAACGTGCGCCGGCCGAGCCTACTGCACTCTCGGCCCACGATTCGTGTCACCGACTTGAAGAATACCCCAGGCTTCCATGCCGAACTTCAGCCGCACCGCGATCTCACGGATGTTGTTCGTGTCTCGGAGAATACACATCGTACATGAGTCCCAAAGCTCGCATCTCTCGTGATCCCCGCTTGGTATCAATGCGTTCGCCAGAGCCCTTACTTAAGTCGTAAGGCAGCTGGTCGGGGTCTACTCCGTCTGCCCGCGATGGCTTAGCTACCACTTTGCGATCCAGCTTAAGCGGGATGTAACGGACCATCTGGCGCTCACTCACGACCTGCCAGATCCTTGGACTTTGACGGACCAGGGATCCCTGAAGGTAGGGCTCGCCATCGCAGAGATACCGACTGTTTGGTTCTCACACGCGTGTGATATCGTCGTCTTGGAGTGGCAACAAGATTGGCGCCCATTGCCTTGCAGACTATTGACTGCTAAGTGGTTCCAGACAGCCTAAACCCCATATTAGCGCGCCATTCTTCAACAACTTGCAGTTGGCAGCCAGTTGTGTTATCTCTGACAAGAGAGTGACAACCAAGTGACCTGCAATGTTCAACGACACGTACCTAAAAGTACGGACCTGACGCCCAGCCTCATAAGCTCCTCCACGTGGACCTGCGACACTGGCACCAAGCCCTAGAAGAAACACTTTTCTTGTTCCCAGAGAAGATCAAGGGCCCAAACAACAAGAAAAACAAAACCTGACTCGCCCGCTAGGCTTGTATGTTTTTTTTTTCTGCGCTTGGGCATGTACAGCGTCCCGACTTGGGACTAGCCTTCTCGAACAACGGCACGCCAGATCGCACGCAAAGCTCTGTTCGCAATGCAGACGATGGATGCCCTACTGCAGGGCCCTGGACTGGGCGTAGCGTCAAGACCCTCGGTCTAGAGTCTTACGAGATCATCTGTCACGGGTTGTGAAAGAGTACGGTTGCGGACGAGTCAAGAATGTCTGTGAAGAGTCACGAACCATACATGTCGATTGCACCTCGATTTTGGAGTACGGTATACGAAATACAGTCCACCGCGGGGGTATAATTCAGCGCTTCCTCTATCCATAAACTATATGTAATGCTCTCTCCGTATCGGAGAGTGTGTTTGCTGCAGTGACCCAGACACTTATCCTTGCTTGAGATCCTGCAACGCCATAGCGGCGTCTGCATCCTTGTTGGATTTTCTTTCGGCCTTGGTGGGCTTGAAACCATGGCTTTGAGGAGGGGTCCATTCCGGGGCCTGGATGAGTCGTAACAAGAGGGGATCTGACAGAAAGAAAGGGTTCGCCATGCGTGTGTCGACCCGGGTCTGCGTGTTGGGCGAGATGGCTGACAGGGGACCTGCAGGGGAGCTAAGAGGCTCCAATGGTTGAGGCTTCGACGGCGTGGCGGCGGGCGCCTTGGTTGTCTGAAGTGGTGGCAACCTGAGCGAGTCCATGGATGGACGCTGGATGTCGGAGAGAATCTTGGGCGACACAATGACCGGCCTCTCTTTGGCGTGTGATGCCTTGATCTTGCGTGGAGTCGGTTGTGGGAGTGCTTTGGCAGCGACTGGCCGTGGCATACCGGGCACGAAAATCTCCTCGCCATCAATCGTCTTTCGCTTCCGCATTCGAGGATTGAGTTTGACAGCGGCAAAGATTGAGCTTTCCACTGAGTCCGACATGGCCACTTGCGCACCGGCACCCTCGTTTTGAGCCAACTCTGTCTGGCCAGTCTCCTGCCCAACCTGTGCCATCATTGGTCTTAGCTCGAGGCTCTTTTCTGTTTGGTCTGAAAGAACAGGAGCCGGTCGTGACAGAGCAGCCGGTGCTGACTTTCTCGATCTCCTCATCTTTGGCTTTTCGACACGTAAGGCCGTAGGGGATGTTGATGTCGTCGGAGTCATGCTGCCGACGATGCGGCGAAGTTCAGCCATCACCTTCCATGTCACCCAAGCAGCGCTCGTTCTGTCATCACGGACTGCCATTGGCCTCTGGGGTGTAGATTTGGGAGGAGCAGCAACCTCCAGCGGCATCGTGAGAAGCTCGGTCTTCACTACCTTGTCAAGCTTCGGAGCTTTGCAAGCCTTCTCTTGCCTCGCTGTCGTCACTGATCGAGAGTCGTGCGACAACTCTGCCGGCAAACCTGGGGCTGAATCGGTAGACGGTTTCGCTTGTGGCTTTGCTGATGGTTTCGCAGCATCCACCTTGGGCTTCTCTTCTGTAGAGCTCTGACGTTTCTTCGTCTTTTCGCTGCTCTCCTTCTTTTTCTTTGGTAATTTGGTGCCGGGCGGCAGCCAAAGCAAGGGCACTCTCTCCTTCAGGTTGGCAACCCATGCATCGCAGTCCCACTGTACCCAGTAGTCGATGATATCCCCCCACGAACTCTCCGGAGGCTTCGTAAAGTTGACAAAGACGACTTTGCCGCCCCTGTTGTGAATGGTCTTGGCGAACTCCCTGACAAGGATCTTCAGGCCATGGACTTTCAGTGACGTGCCGAGAATGAGAAGCAGATCCGGGGACAATCCCAAGTCATGGGTGACGATTGGTGAAATGAGGTGGGCGTTCGGGTGCTCTTCGCCGTAGAGGACGATATCTGGTCTCAGCTTGCCCACGCCTAACGCTCTCTTGCCCCTCTCTTGCCGTGCTGCCGTTGCTCCGGCACAATACGGGCATTCAGGCTGTCGCCCAGAGAGTGTCTCGTGTGATCTGTCGGCTTCATCCCAGTCGCAAATCTTGCCGCAGAGAAAACACCGAAGAGACTCTAGTGACCCGTGCAAGAAAACGCATTCCACGCCATTGGACTTCTTGTCAGCCTGTTGCTGGACCTGTGGCTCGGCCGACGGAGTCACTTCAGCCGAATCCGCGACACCGACCCCATCGGGCA